ACTATCCTTTCAAGCTTGGTATTGCCTTTTAAAGCATAAATCCAATACCAACATTCTAGGTTGAGACGTTAGGCTTTCTTCAGGAATCACCTTAAAGTCGTTACATTGTAGACAGTGACTTTTCTTACTAGAAAGTAATTTATTTAGTTCCTAATTGACCCACTCTTAAAGGTTATCAAATGCTCATCTCTCTTTTTATACATAGTATTGGCCACCGCCATGTTAGAAGCCAACGCAAAATCTAAAATACTCTCTCCAACCTCGTTTCTATCACCAAAATCATACCCACCATGCACCCTCTCATAACTTAGTTTATCTATTCTTATATGATCGTTGAAATCACCACCTATAAGTAGGTTCTCTCCTACGGGTATCTCCTGTAATATCTCAACTATTTGGTCCCAAAAATCTCTCTTAGTCTGATTATCTAATCCTACTTGGCGGCGTATGCACTAATAACGTTCACTATATTCTCTCTAATAACTAGTTTAACTAATATAATCCTATCACATTTCCTAATGACGGCAAGTACATTTTCTACAAGACCCTTAGCAATTATTATTCCTATCCTATTCCTATGTTTGTTCTTGCAACTATAATATAATTTAAAATTGTTATCCTCTATTTTTCTAACTTTCTTACCCGTCCGCTTAGTTTCACATAAAATTTAAATACATGATGAAAATTTAAATTTGGTGCAATATCAGTTATGTTTAAATTAAATCTCATACAACATTTTAAATTATGAATTTTGTTTAGTGTTTATTTATTTTTGAGTAAGAAACATTTAGTGGGCTTCATTTTTATTAGTCTAAGGTGGTTTGGAAACAAGTTAAAAAGTTAAAAAAAAAAAAAAGATATTAATTGAAACATTATTTTTTACATTTTTATATATATATTTTTTGTGTATAATGAAGTGTCAATTAATTAGGATATTTGAGATAACACTCTCTTATATTTCTCCTAATCCTTAATTAGTCATATTAATTACAAATCATTGGATCTAAAACGAAGACTTGCATATCATTTTCTTTTCACAAAAAAATAAAAAATCAGAAGAAAAAAAACCATTCACCTAGTTTGATTTTGATTGATTTTTTAAAAATTGAGTTTTTTTTTTAGTGATTTTTTTAATATTTTTATTAATTTTTTCTTTTTATTTTTTAGATACACATAACTCAGATGCACCTAAAAATAAAATATTTGTGAAAAATATTTTAAAAATTCAATAAATATGTAAGAAATATGAAAATGTTATGAATTTATATATATTTTTAATAGTTGATAATTTTTTTAAAGATTTTTTTATAAATATTATACTTTTTAAGTGTATTTATGTTAAATGTATCTAAAAAATATAAAAAATTCTTAAAATATTAAATTTTAGAGACTAAAAATAAAAAAATACATAAAAATAAAAATTCAAATTTTGAAAAATTAGCTCAATTTTGAAAACCAAACAAGGTTTGGTGAATATTATGAGAAGTTAGTGGTTAGTTTTGAAATATTATTCCACACTATTTATTATTTATTGAGGAACAACAGTTCCATAGTGTAACATTCCTATTTTTGAATATTTTAAGCTAAATTAATATAAATAGTTAAATTGATAATTGAAAAAGAATATTTAATTTTATAATTATATGTGTTAAAATATAATTTAATTTAAAATAGGGATCATCATGTTTAATTAAAAGATGATAATGCAATTATTAAATTAGTTGGGCCACGGTGAAATATGGTGAAATGTGTCCTATTCGTTGGTCACCTGAAGAGAAAGACACCTATTAAGCCTACGGAGCAAGGATCCTCTAGAGTGATTTTTTCCTAAAGTTTCCTAGAGTGCTACATTGTGTGGTTGAGATTTACTGACAAGTCACATCAGAAAATCTCAACCACACAATGTAGCACTCTAGGAAATTTTAGGAAAAAATCACTCTAGAGGATCCTTTGGCACTATATTAATGAGTAAATCTTACTAGATAGATGAGTGAATCATCCAGGAGATTAATAAATAAATGCTGAGTCACCATGTCAGGCTCCAGTATATAAGGGGCGTATATAAAGGGTGAATCAAAGGCAAGCAAAACAAAAAGAAAATTCACAAGAAAAAAGGATTGAGGAAAAAGGATTGAGGAAAAATGGTCTCATAAAACCAGCATAAGAAGAAAGTAGTAAGAATTAATATTAAGGTGAGTTATATTATATTTTGTGTTATCATTATATATTTTACGTATGTTTTGAGTTACTATAGTTTATTTTATATAAATTATATTTTATAAATTATATTAGCATTTTTAATTTATGAACCTTATTTTATATAATAAGAAAAACCCATGGATATAACTGTTTATTAAAATGTGTTTTGAGTAATTATTTTATAAGTACTACCACGGAAGTCCCATGTTTTGGGAGACTTAAATAACTATTGGTTTCTGATTAGTCACTTTGTGACCCTCTATCTATTATAGATCTACTAACACTCTGATTTCTGATGTGGAGCAAAGTGCTGTACGGAGTTAAGTGCTGCACTATTGTGTGAGTCACCTCTAGAGTTCGTACGAGTCACCTCTTGAATCCATACATCTGTTCTGTTCTGTTCTATACCGTAGTTATACTTATATTGTTTATATGATTTCCGTATTATATATTATGTATTTTAATATCAAGCTCTGTTTAGTCAATAATTATCTATGGTGAATTTTATACCCTTATGCTCTTAGTATAATATTTCTCACTTTGCCATGTGCTTATTGTTGTTTATCATTTTCAGGTGACGTATCAGGACCAGTGCGTGGGTAGGCACAAGGCACTTTATAGTCATGATCTAAGCTCTGACAATGTAATTAAATAGAAGCTCTAATGTAATGTTTTGTTATTATTAAATAAAGTTTTGGGTACCTTTTTATTTTATCCCGCTGCACTATTAATTTTTTATGACTTCAGTTTTTATCTAGTCGCGACGCCGAACCTCCAGGTACCGGGTTTGTATCAGGACACATAGTCTTTTAAAAAGAGACAAAAATGTGATGAATCATTGATTGAACCAATAACAACTATGTTGGAGCATTCCCTCTATTTGCCCGAAGAACAAACAATGACTATGTTTGGTTTGCCTTTGGAATCATGATTTTAAAGGTAAGATTTGCAAATCACTTTACAAAATTCATAACCAAATACATAACTCAAAATTCAATTCAAAAATTAATTTCAAAACTCACAACCAAACACACAACTCTTGATGATATAGTGTTGAAGATGGTTAGTGATGTGATTGTTAAATTATTTTTATAAAAATCTAAAAAAAAAAATTATATTTAAAAAATATCTAAAACAAATATATTATTTTTTTGGGGGGGGATTGACCAATAAATCTTATATTTTGGACTTATAATCGATAGAGTCCCATATTTTTTTAGTGTGACACATTTAGTTCTTTTGGATGTATAATGACTCATTTGCTCTTCACATTGGAGTGTCACATTTGGAAAAAATACACTAAAGAGTTTTTTAATGTCACATCATACCCTTTACGTTAGAGTGGCCCATTTGAAAAAATTATGCTAAATAGTTTTTAATTTTTTTAGAGTGTCATATCATACCCGTCACGTTAGAGTGTCATATGTCACGTTTGAGAAAAGTATACTAAGGAGTTTTAAATTTTTTTTAGAGTGTCACATCATACTCGTCACATTATCACGTTTGAGAAAAGTACACTAAGGAGTTTTTATTTTTTTTGAAATGTCACATCATACCCGTCACGTTGTCACATTTGAGAAAAATACACTAAAGAGTTTTTATTTTTTTTGAAGTGTCACATCATACTGGCCACATTGTCACATTAGGAAAAATTATACTAAAGAGTTTTTATTTTTTTGGAGTGTCATATCATCGAAGTGTCACATTAATACCCGTTACATTATAGTATTATATCATATCTGTCACATTAATAAAAGGGTATGTTGTCCACCAAAACATTACCAAAACAAAAAATAGGATTACACAGAAAGAAACTATTCACTAATAGGACTTAACATATCAATAAAAAAAACTTAAAACTAATCGGAGTATTTGTTTGTGAAATGAGATTTTTTGATAAATATATATATATATTTTTCAAATAACAAATTGCAATTGCAAAAAAAAAAAAATTTGTTTGGTTTGTATTTGAGAAACATGTTTTGAGATAAAAAGTACGAAAATTTGTTTGGTTTGATTTTTTTTCAAAAGATGTTTTGAAAAATTATTTTGAGAGAGAGTTTTGAAAAAAGTGATTGATTTGATATGTATGAGAGAGAGATTTGTTTGGAAAACTTGTAAACCAAACAAGTTTTGGAAAAAAATTTTGAGAAAATTTGTTTAGTTTGACTACTTTTGAAAACTTATTTGTAGAGAATTTTTCTCAAAATTTTTTGAGAAACACAAACCAAACAAGGCTGTTTTGATCAATCGACTGGACGTTCAGAAAGATATTAGGGAGGAGGACCGGAAGGATGTCCAAATGGACGATCAAGTAGACCCAAACAGCTCATTTCAAAATTCAAAAACTTATTTCAAAATATTTTTCAAAACTTATAACCAAACAAATTTTTTCTTTTCAAAACTCAACTCACAATTTCATACTCAAATCATAACTGTAAAAAAATAATTATAATTCTAAAACTAAATCAAATGCACTCAATAATTTTCAAATTCCCACAAAACAAACACGCGCTTTCCATTCCCCGTTCTATCCATTCTCATATCCATCATCGCATTTTCTTTACGGATAATTGTTTTATGTGTCAATACGGGGCGTCACATAAAAAGCAAAGCAGATAGTTTTCTCCCTAGCCAAACAGATATGTTAGTTTGAAACTTGGGCCTCGGGAGTCAAAGAAAGAGGCCGCGTTCAAGAAGGTACAACTTCACACAGCCTGTTCTTTTGGACCGAGGACTGTAGTTATCTGTTTCTGTACAAACCTACTTCTTTTTTTTTTTAAAAAAAAACCACAACCACAACCACACCCCCCACACGCACACACGGACACCACACATCTCTTTCCTTGTTCCAAATTTGTATTTATTCACCAACAGAGTTTATGCATAATTAGTTTATTTTCCTGAGAATCTGTTGCTTTTTGATTTGTCCGGAAACCAGACCCAACAACAACGATGAAGATATCCGTGACACAACAACCTCCATACCATAACCTCATCTTCCTAATTTCAACTGTAATCATCATCCAACACTTGACCGCGGGAGTGATCTCCATCGGCGTCAACTACGGAACCGTAGCCAACAACCTCCCAGCAGCACCACAAGTGGCTGAGTTCCTCAAAAACAAAACCATCATAGACCGCGTTAAGATCTTCGACCTCAACCCCGACATCATCCGAGCATTTTCCGGCACCGGAATCCTCCTCTCCATCACCATCCCCAACGGCGACATCCCCTCCCTAGCCAACCCCCGCACAGCCCGCCGATGGGTCACCACCAATATCAAGCCCTTCTACCCTCTCACCAAAATCCACTACATCTTAGTCGGCAGCGAAGTCCTCCACTGGGGCGACCAAAACATGGTCTCTAACCTCGTCCCTGCCATGAGAGCCATCAACAGTGCTCTCGTCAAGGAAGGCCTCTCTCCTGCGATTAAGGTCACCACCGCTCACTCTCTCGGCATACTCCTAAGCTCCGATCCACCCAGCTTGGCCCGCTTCCGACCCGGATGGGACCGAGACGTCTTAGCCCCCATGCTTCTCTTCCACAGGCAGAGTAAATCTCCGTTTATGGTAAACCCGTACCCGTACTTCTCGTGGAACCCGAATAACACCCAGTTCGCCCTATTCGAGGCGAACCCGGGAGTTCGAGATCGGGTGACGGGTAAGAACTATACGAACGTGTATGATCTGTTGCTGGACGCGGTGTACTCGTCGATGAAAAGGTTGGGGTTTGGGGATGTGGAGATTGCGGTGGGAGAGGTGGGGTGGCCTTCGCAGGGAGACCCTGGGATGTATCAGTGTACAGTTGAGAATGCCAGGTGGCACAATTTGAATGTTTTGAGGAAGGCTAGCTCCGGTGTGGGTACGCCTTTGATGCCCGGACGCCTGTTCGAGACCTATATATTTGCTCTCTTCAATGAGAATCTCAAGTCCGGTGCAGCTGATGAGAGGAATTTCGGCTTGTTCCGCCCCGATTTCTCACCCGTATATGATATCGGCATTATGCGACCAGGACAGGTACACTAACATTATTACAGTACATTCCTTCATAGCACTCAATTTATTTGCTTTGGTTTATAATTTTTTCAAATTTTAATCTAGGTATAACATTAAAACCTTGATGTTATGGTTTAAAAAAAGTTGATTATACCTTCTTAAAAAAAAATTAAATGTTTGTTTGAAACTGTTTAGTGTAATTTATGTTTATAAATTAAATAAATTTTAAAAAATTAATTATTTGAAATTTGGGAGATGGATAGTTTCCGTTACTATTTTTTGATTATTAATGTAACTCAAAAAAAAAAAAAAAAAAAAAGAAAGAAGGCAAACAGAGTCATGAATGACAATTTAATAATCTCATAAAATTAATTTGTTTTGTTTGTGCTCTTAATCAAGTCCTGCTTAGCAAAACAAACATCGCTAGGTGTTTGGGTTCGTTTTATTGTGATTTTGTTGTAGCCTTATTTTTGTTTTTTAGATTTTGCTACGAATAAAAAATAAAATAATTCTAAAAAAAGTTTAAAAAAGATAAAATTAGTAATTTGTGTTTTGGTTATTTTAATTTTTTAAATTTGTTATAAATCAGAATTTTTTTTTTTTTAAAAAAAAAAGTATAAATATTTGGAAATTCTCAAACCGCCCTTAATGTTCAAAATGATGGTATCAAGTTTCCTTAAAAAAAGAGAAAAGTTTAGATGGGGACGCGATACGACAACTGTAAAAGTGAAAGTGATCCGCGACTTTTTTTTATTCCCTCACCGACTAAGGCACCGTTTGAGAGGCAAGATTTGAGATTTTTTTGGTTATTTTAGTTACAAAAGATAAAATAGATTATTTTAGTTATAACAAACAAAATATCACATCTAACCCATAATCATTACACTCTTCTCTCACAAAAAAAAAAGTTAAAAAAGTTAAAAAGTTAAAAATTTTTCCCAAATCAAGCTTTTTAGCCCAGGCTAAAATAGTCAAAAAAGCCAAAAAGCCAACCCACTTCCCAAACCAAACCTAACAAAGTTAGAAAAAAAATTCGAGTTCCGGATATGTAATTTTTGTATAAAATTATGAAAGTTTTTTTAAATTTATATGAGTAATTTCATAAAAATTTATAAATTAAATATAAATTTACATAATTACGTGAATTTTAATAAAATTATACATTTTAAAGAAATTATTTATGCAACTTTTTAAAAATTTGTATAATTTTATATATAATATATACTGCTCCGTTTGGAAAGAGCTAGATCGGGTTTTTTTTGACTATTTTAGTCACAAAAAACAAAATAGGTTATTTTAGTCACAAAAAATAAAACATCACATCTAATTCATAATCATTACACTCTTCTCTCACAAAAAAAAAATCAAAAAAGTCAAAAAGATAAAAAATCCTTTTCAAATTAATCCAGATTAAAATAATTAAAAAAATTAAAAAATCAAAAATCAATCCATTTCCCAAACCAACCCTCCGATTTGCATTATCCACCGAGATATTTTTCAAAAAGTAATAGGAATGATACGAGTAGACACAGCCACGGTGTTCAAATTGAGGACGCTGATTGAAATTAGGGCAATTATACTTGAGGTGTGAAAGAAATAGATTACTTAGCTTGGTTTGAAAAATTATAAATATTTTATTCAGAAGTGAAATATAATTTTTAAAATCATAAAAATTAATTTATATTTTCATTAAGTCTCAAAAATATATTTATAATATGTCTTTAATATTATTATCCCATATCTGAATATTGTCATTTTAAGATTCCCCTGCTTTATTTATTTATAATGTTTAGTTTTTTGATGGTATTTTGTTGTCTTTATCTTATTATTTCGAATCTTGTCTTCACTTTCCGGAAATTTTGGGTATGTTTGGTTTGAATTTGGGAGATGAGTTTTAGAAAAAAAATTTAAAAAAATTGTTTGGTTTGAGTTTTTCTCAAAAAATTTCCAAAATCACTTTCTCTCTCTTACACATCAATCAATCACTTTTTCTCTTTCCTCTCTCATTCTCAATCACTTTTTCTCTCACACACATCTACTCAAATTCTCTCAAAACATCAAATCATCCCAAACTCTCAAAAAAATAACTCTCCCAAAATATACAACCAAATAAACCAAAAAAATTTCTAAACTCTCTCCCCAAATATTTTTTCAAAAACAACTCTCCCAAAAATAAACCAAACAAGCCCTTTGCTTTCGTAAAGGATACAGCTCATCTGATTTTCTCGTGTTCCGTTCCAAGGGCCACGCGATCTACTAATGAAATTCGAAACGTTCCATTATTAAAAGGTTTTTGACCGTTGGTGATTAGCATCCCTTTGGCCAAATCATTTTCGTTTTTAAAATCAAAATTTGTAACAATTAACCCTTCATGTATTAATTCTTTTTAATTTAAATTTTAATAACAAAAATATCCGTTTAATTATAAGAGTACATCACATTTTATTCTTTTTAACTATCACTCACCCCTCAACTAAAATAATATTTGATTTTTAATTTAAAATACAATTTAAAGTTTCTTATTTTTATTTTTAGCAAATTTTTCATATTTTAGTCAAAAAACTTAAATTTTTAGATGCACCTAAAATTTATATATTTGTAAAGATTTTTTTTTTAAAAATCACTAAAGTAAAGCGACAAACTGATATATTTTTATATTTATTGTCCTTGATGAATTTTTTTTATAGATATTTTTAAAAATACTTTGGTTTTTAAATATTTTTTAACAAATTAAAAATTAATTTAGTGATAAAATGAAGCACAAATACAGACACGTGACATGACAAGGATATGATATAGACACGCCGACATGACAATTTTTAAAAAACCAGACCAATCTGATCCATGTACACCCTAATAAAAAGTAAAAAGTAAAAAACCACTAAAAAGCCAATTTCCAAACGAGTCATTAATATAGGTGTAATAAAATGTCTAAATATAATTTTTTGTTGAATTACTTAAATATCATATTTTTTTCGTTAGATTAATTAACGTAAGTAGCAGATGGTTTAAATTTAAAAATAAAATTCAGAATTTATTTTGTGGCAAGATTTTTTGTTTTTTTGTTTTTTGTGAGTGTCTTTGTAATTCTCTCTTATTTTTTTGAGTAAATTACATTCATCTCTCATGTGATTTGACAAAGTTACACTTAGCTCTAAAAGTTTGACTTAATTACACTTAAAAGTTATCAAAACTAATATAGGTGGTGGGTAGATATGTACATAAACAAGGTAAATAACAATTTTGGGCAAATTACATATACACCCCTCGAGGTTTGGTTAAATTACAGATACCCCCTGAGGTTTTGGAAATTACATCCCGCCCCTTGAGGTTTGTATTTTCATAACAATTTACCCCCTGAGGTTTATATTTCATAACAAATTACCCCCTAATTTCTTATGCAAATATAGCATTTAGGGGGGAATTCGTAATTTCTCAAACCTCAGGGGTATCTGTAATTTAGCCAAACCTCGAGGGGTGTATATGTAATTTGCCCTAAATTTTAATAGAAAAGACAAGATAACTTCTTTTATTTGTTTATTTATTATTATTATTTTTCATTCATGCGGCTAACAAATTAATGATGAAAAAAGCTCTAAGTGTTATATGAATTAAAATCTTATGTAGTTATTGTAATTATATCAAAATTATGTGTTAATTGTATTTTCTTCAAATCTCAAGGGACACAAGTGTAATTTATTTTAATTTTAGATATATCATTTAAGGGAGTGTTTGGAAACACCTATGTAAGACTACTATTTTCGAAATTTTGTCTTTAATGATTTTTATTTTTAGTCATTGTATAGACAAATCTAAAATGTAAATTTTTTTTTTTGAAAAACTCTAAAAAAAAATTTTTTAAAAGTAGAAAAATTTCATTATTTTTGTTTATTTTCGGCCTTTGTGAACCCTTTTTTTTTTTGTTGCTATTTTTGTATTTTTATTTTTTTATAAATTTGTTGATTTACCTTGTCAAGCTGAAAGTAGTACGTAGTAATAAATTTTAAAATTTGAAATGACATATACTAAAATGATAAATACATGTAAAAAAAAAAAAAAAAAAAAAAATGCAAGTTTTTATTATTTATATGGCAGCATTTTATGTATAAACCTAACATTCTGTTGGTTAGGATGACTATCATTTTGTAGAAATAAATTTTTATGAAAATAATATTTGAATAGTATTATTTATAAATAAATTTCATACAAAATGATATGATAATAATGGTTTTAATATTACATTGTAATTAATTTGTAAATAGTTACATCATTTTTATCTAAATATAATCATCCCAGCATTATTTTACTTTTTATATAATCGAAGTTTAACTCTTGCATTACTGGTTAATTTGATCCAAGTAAATGGCTGTTATTTATAAGTAATGTTATACAAACAATTTTTTCTTACAAAATTAATTTATAAATTGATGTGCCATATCAGTTTGGAAAAAAAAAAAAGGAAAAATTGGGTAACAAACATGTTCTTTATTTATGTTCATTTTTGTATAGGCTGGTGGTGGTGGTGCAAGCCCTTCACCAGTATCCACAGGGGGCAAGCAGTGGTGTGTGCCAAGAGCAGAGGCTAGCGACGCAGCATTGCAGGAAAACATCAACTGGGCATGCAGCAACGGAGTGGATTGCCAGCCCATTGAGGCCGGCGGGGCATGCTTTGACCCTACCACAGTCAGGTCCCATGCAGCTTATGTCATGAACGCTTACTATCAGTCCAAGGGTCACCAGAATTTCAACTGCGACTTCTCTGGCACCGGTGTTTTAGCCACATCTGACCCAAGTGAGTACTAATCTATTTTTTTCCTCTCCTCTCCCAAATTACTACAAGTTCTAAGTAATGATGTTTCTCCATAAACCTTCGTTTTCTAGTCACATTTTTTGACCCATCAATAATTACACACAGAGTCAAAGTGGTTTCAGTATTTATTTAACTATTTTAAAGAGTATTGCCCTGTTATCAATTTTTTTGTCATTAGACACAGACATTGGGGCTATATTATTATTAAGAATACCCATGAGATCTACTATTTTATATTTAGTGATAAAAATATTATTGTGTGAGATCAAATTGAATTAGACCCATCGGATAAAACTCTTTTTTACGGGTCACCATTGATTAGTTGCCATATTAGTTTAATTCTATATAAATATGGGACGACTCTTATTTTTAGTTGTTTTGCTCCCTTCTTTGCTGCTGCCCCTCTCCTCTACCATTCCTCACCAAGCCAACTCAACATATAGGCAACTTAGCCAGCCTATTGCCTAGCTAAAGTCTCTCACCAAGAAAACCTAATAAAATTATTATCGCCAAAACCCTCAATACTACAAAGATCCAATACAATAGGCACTATTTAATGTTGGGCTGGAGACCTTCAAAAATCTTGGCAGTTAGTGCGATTACCTTGAAATTTTTGGACTGCTAGTGCCATTACCTCCTTCATCATCATTGTCATTGCTCCTCCCTCCCCTCCCACTGTTGCGATCCCCTCCCTTCCCTTCGGTCACTGCAGCGGCCCAACCTACTCCGCCTTGCTCCAAGTTCAAAGATGCATATCGTAACAGTTGAAAAAGAAAGAGAGTTGTGGGAGACGGTTATACGACAAAAAAGTACGTATTCTTGTATTTGTGTTAAATTTAGTTGATGTGGTTGCTAATCAATCGTGGATGGTAAAAAGGTCATCTAGTGTGCTGATTGAATTTAATCTCATAATCATATAAACATTTCCCCTCTATTTTGTCCCCCAATGTTTGATCTATGTCATGGAAAATATCTCCTTCAATTTTCTTTTCAAAATTCTCACGAACAATATTTCATGTGTTAACAAAACACTCTTCAGGATTAAATTCTTGAAAATTTTGTGTAATAGTCTGACAAAATAAGCATCTGCCTGGGTGTGGGTGTTAATTTCAGTGATATTTTAATTGTAGCTTATATGTTGGTTTGAGACAGTAGCTATTGTTCATTGCTAATAATAACATATATTCATTGGTGGTTTAATTTGTGAGTACAGGTTATGGTGAGTCATTTATTTAAATTTGATTTGTTCCTTTTGAAGAATTTGTATTTTGTAACTGTGAGGAGGGTGTAATGATGTACTTCGTTCTCTGTCCTTGCCACGATGGTGCAATTCAAGCTTAACCTTAACCATTTATGATTATTATTAATATTATTATTATTGTTATAATGTTTTGTTATGGTGTTAATACTCGCACAAATTCTAGTTGCATACAAAAACATCCACATTAGTCTCTCTAAAACTGAGTTTGGAGCAATAACAGTGTATTTTAACATTTTCACAGGACATCGCCTGATGTAGTGTTCATATGTTATTCCACATTTTTGTTTTTATCTTTACTTTCGAAAAAATGTCTTTCCTCTCTCGTGCTTCCTTCTTCTGCCAAGGCAAACATCATTCTCTTGCAACATCATCGTCGTCAACGCCATCTGGTGCTCATCTCACTACCTTCATTTTCACTATCTTGGAAACTCAAGTTTCTCTCTTTCTGCAATTTGCAAACCCGAGTTGCCAGTGTCGTACTTTATTTTTTAATCTCATTCTAAAATCAAATTTTTTGTTGGTTGTGATTCTTGAACTCTTTGAGCCTCTCTTAAATTGTCTATATCAATTGTTGTGTTAGATTCACTTTTGTTATGCATATATGTTCTTGCATTGTGATTGTTGGATAAAATGCCACGCTACATCCTTTGTTGATAAATGAGGTAGTGCACCATGCCTCCTCGGTGTGGAGGGATCACACCCAAGAAATGAATCAGTGCATCGTCCTTACTAGCCAGGGAATATAGGCTCACCACCAATAGGAAGGCCTGTCAGCATGAAGAAGTCCATCAGAGTCATCGTTATCTCTCCGGAGTGGGGGAATGGAACGAGTTGGTGATATTCCACCACTTCTTCATCAAGGCAGTGAGATGATTGTGGTTGACCCGAGCGTCTCCTAGGGTAATGTAGAAAGGGCCAAAATCACAACCATCCACAAGGAAGTGCACGTACGGTCTTTGGAAGAGCCCGATACTAGGACGCTATCTCAGGAAAGGAACCGAAGCTACGCATAGCACATATGCGCTCCTACAAAGAAATGCCAAAAGGGTCATGATTATCTACAGGGTTGAAGGTAATAAGGAAAGGGACAGAAAATGCATAATAAGGAACATGCCCAGTAGGAAGTATGAAAAATGTGAACATCAGGCTCACGCAAGACAACGGAGCAAGGGTTCATCACATCACGCTCCTAGAAACGTAGCATACCCAACCGTGGTATGTGGCCTGGAGGCACCACTACTAGAAAAGTGGTTTTTTGAGACTAATTTTTTGCGACGGATTATTTTACCGTCGCAAAAAATAATATTTACAACCGCAAGTTCATAATTTTTTCTTTTACTATTTATTTTGCATTTTTCTTATTCCTATGCCCTACCTCTTTTCACTGTGACTTTCCCGACAATTCACAAACAGAGTTCTCTGTCACTTTTGCTCGCCATGGTCGCGCTCTCTCTCTCTCTCTCTCTCTCTCTCTAAGGTTGTGATGAGAAGCAATAGACAACAATGCCGGAGCTACTAGGGTTTGATAATCAGAAACCAGTAGAGATCATCTGCATTCTGACCTCGAGACGCCAGCCCCGATTCTGTCATCTTCACCGTCGAATCCAACTTCAACCTCTTCTCCACAGCTCACTTTTGAGATTAAACAAGGAAATGGCATTTTGAACTCTCTCGACCTCTCAATCTCGTTCTCTATCTCTCTTTGTCTCTCTCAATCTTGCTTTCTCTCTCTGTTTCTCAATCTCCTGCTCTCTTTATGGTTCTTTTGATATCTATATTTTTCATTCATTGTTACTCAGATTGCCCCTTGGATTGTCCAAAATGATCTCTCTAGGGCAACACAAAATCAACATTTTTAGGTATTTCTTTCGATTAATCTCTGGCATGTTTTTTTTTTCCTCTCTCTATATTCTTTGTATTTTGTAACAATTTATGCATATCTATTTATTGAAATTGAAATTATTAATTTTCTGTGCATAATGGAGTTTGATCCATTGGTGATTTAAGTATGATTCTGTGTTTTCTGCACTAATGTGTTAGAAATACTACTCATGTACTTTAATTTAATTTTGTTCAATTTTAATGAAATAAGAAATTCTTAGCCTACTTGAGATTGTTCTGGTAGATGCTTAGTTCACATTTTTTTTTTTTTGCTGGGAATTTGGAGCAACATTATTTGGATTTTTTTTTTATTTTAATTTAATTTTGTTTACCCGTTTGTTGCTTTTATGTTATACTGCCAATTTTATTATGTCTCTCTTTTCTTTTACATTTTTGTTCTTTTTGTTTATAATAGTAAAGTTCGATTGTGTTTCTGTTTGATGGTGATGAGATAAGTTGAAGCTCTGTTTGTTTGGATTGCAATTAATTTTGAAATTCCATAGCAGAGAGGATGTAATTGAGGTTCCAATTGTGTTCATGAATAACATGTCAATATGTCATGAATTTTGCAGGAAACATTTTTGTGTGTTGTTTTTTTTTTTTCTTAGTATCTACCAGTTTAGTTGGAATTTTTGGGAAAATTATTATTCCCTTGGTAATAAATTGAGCCTTCAATGTACTTAACTAAAAAATAAATATATACTGAGCCCTTGGGCATTTTTGAATAAGGCAATCAAATTGATACAACATGCTCTCATTAGATTTGAAAATGTTAATTTAATATGGGCGGCTCAAGTTCGATTTGGCATCAGGCACTTCCGTTATATCATGTCATTAGTTTTTACTGAGTTCCCTGCATGTCATCCATAAAATTTTATTTACTTGCTCCAATTTAGTGTTATGACAATGCCACCTCAACTTAATGTTTTCAGGATGATTTCTTACCAAGAATGCCAAACCTTCGGAATATACATTTAAATTGCTCTTCTGGTAAGTTGTGTTCCTTTTATATGATGACTTTGAGAAGCCTTGGAATCTTCGTTTTACTTATACTGTTATCTCTTTAACTAGGCCTTAATGCTATGATTTCCTGATTTTTTTAGTGAATAAGCTATCTGTGTTGGAAGAATTGGTAGATTGTTCATGATTCATCTTTAACATATACACTTTCTTCTCTTTGCAGCTAACAATACATGAAAATTTGATGATGTATCAATCAGAGGGTGCGGTTCTGGTGTGTTTGGTGCACCAGTGTTTGCTCTGTCTGCTTCCCTGCAGTCTCTGTAAGTAATGAATTCCTTTACATATGACCTATGAACTTTTACATGTAAAAGTAAAAATCGACTCTGTGGAATCAATGATGACTAAATAATCATGTTTAAGGATAGGTCTTAAATTGAATGCCAGTAACTGACATTAAATTATTCAGTCTGTAATGAACAATAATTTGTTGAGATACTAAGAATGACAACTATTGGCATGCAAAATTCAATGGTTACTTGCAAGACACCAGTTCACAACTGATTTTCCATTTTATCTCCCATGCTCAAACATGTTCACATTTTTTTTTTCATTTTTCTTTTTCCTCCAGTTATTTTCTCAAAATTCTTGCTGAGTTAGTCATAAATCTTAGCTTGTAAACCATAAAAGGCCTCATATTATTCCCATTTTAAACATTTCTTAGTAAATTTGTCACTGCTCCCCATAGTAACAATTTTAACTGAGGCCTTCTCATATGTTTTCAAGTCAGGACAGCATATCTGATATTGACATGAAGACCCTGAGATTTGTAGTTGTTATTCGTAGCTACGGAAATACAGTGGATAACGAAATGAAAGACCATTATCGTAAGCTTCTGAGTGCAACTCTAGGAATCATCTTAAATGTGAAGCATCTATATGCATTAGACGGGATGGAAGAAGTCATTTTGGAGCTTCGTAATCTTTTTATCTCTGGGCCTACGGTCTCAGATACTCGACTGTATCAATGCAAACCAAGTCTAGCCACTTTCATGGTTGGCCTTGGTCATATTGAATTGGCAGAGAATGATAATAGTACAAAGAGCTCAGCTGTATGGGAGTTGTACCGCATTTTATTCAGAGAGCAGCACTGGGCATTTGTTCATTTGGTAATCACAGCCTTTGGATATTTCGCTGCCCATACTTCTTGCATTCAGCTCTGGAGATTTGTGCCACAAAATGCAGCTCTTTCATTTGATTTAGAGTCCGGGAATGAGGCAAATGAAGAGAGATTTATGTCTGAGTTGAAGACATTTCTGGAGAAGGAAATGGCTCTTCTTACAGTGATACCTAGCACTGATCAACTTCAATTGCTTGTAAATGAAGGTCTGAAGCTAAAAGAAATGATTCGGAAATGTCAAACTATTGATCTGGGTGTTATGGAATATGAAACCATGGAGATTGACATTCAAAACCAAGCCGATAAAAGACGAAAACTTCTTGATGGAATTAACCAAGGGGTGAAATTGCTACAGAGCGGTTTGAAAATTATTTGTGATGCTCTTCCTCATTTGCAGCGAAATCATTTTGACTGCTCTGAGCTTCATGACAAGTTCTTGACTCACTTTTCACACCTTGAAGATGAGATTGGCCATTTAGTTGGCCTAGCTGGTAGCAGCTAATCAATACTTTCAGCCCATATTAGAGAACTTTCAAATATGCTGAACAACTGAAAACTGGTATATATAAAGGTACGAGTATATTTCTGGTTTTCATTAATAGTGACACTGTAATTGGATTTGTACTGAAATATACTGTTGATTGTGTTTTGTATTGCATTTCAATATACCCACATTGGTTGTAGAAGAATTAGTCATTACCATAATCCCCTAGCTCTCTATACAGACATGAGAGGTTCCACTGTTGTGGATTTTGTAAAGTTGCTTTACCTCCATAGTTAAAATTAGATGTGTCCACAAGGCTTTTCGCAGATGAAATGATTATATGTTTTTTTTTTATGTTTTTTTATTAAAGTACCGATTTATATTATTGTGCAATTTTTAATGGATTTGTTAATTTGTTTGAAATTTGGTGATGTTACTAAATTCACAATAATTGCCATGAATTTGAATTGTATTCTAACATCACAATAACCTCCATGAATTTAGAAATACATAATTGAAAAAGTGCTTTGTTGCTAAAATCCGTCCAATGGATTTGTTAATTTATTGCTTGGATGGCATTTTAGATGAGTCTTGTGAATGATTCTCCAGTACACTCGTCAAGCAGCGAGGACTTTGCTGCATTTCTTGATGCAAAGTTGAATTCTACTATTCTACTTTTCACATATCGCCTGACCTAGATAGCGAGCATGAGGACGAGGATGAGGACGAGGACGAGGACGACGACGAGGATGATTCTAAGCCCAATGTTGAGAGGTACCGGTTGTTTCTTCCATTAGGTCTAAAGTTGTACCAGATAAAGCTATTTTATTTTATTACTTTGTTGGGTCAAATTTTATGTGGTTACCAGTTGATAATTTGTGTGTAATGAAAACCAATATAGGAGTGAAACCAATCATTCAATTGATTATCATTATCTTGTCTTCATCACCACAATCTGTCCCATCTACTTACTATCCTTGCCATTTTTGTTCTCTTAAACACGTCTTATTTTCTTGCTTCCATGATTAGAATTGTTGTGCTTGTGCTCTTCTTAAACTTCCTCATTTCTCTTGTGCTCATTAGGCTAGTCTATGTGACTCAATCCAAAACAACCTGATCCAATTGGGTTGATTTGGTTCAGTCTTGATTGTTTTCATTCTGGTTTCATAGTGAAAAAGCTTAAAACTTCTTAATAATAACCGCTGAAGCTTTCAATCTAGTATAGACTTTTGATGATTGGATTTGATCATTGGCCGGAAAGATAAGATGGTACGAGTTTGCTAGTGATACTAAGAACCTAACAGAACTTTTTTTATCATCTCAGCGGCATTGTATCTGAGACCACTCTTGGTGATTGAGAGGAGGCCCAAATAGGTTTTTTTTTTTTTTTTTGTATATGAATTCAATGTTATCTATAAATTTGTATATATATATATATATGTTGACTTTCATTTCTTCTTTAATTTAAAATTAAGTATGGGTTTTGATAAATGATGTACAAAGTACCTGAACTTTGTATATGATGTTTTTAGCTAAATCTGCGAAGGTGAAGATACAGGTTTTAAAAAATGGCTTGTTTTGATTTGGGTTGATGTGGTTTCTGGGTTTTGTTGTTGGTTTTGATAAGAATTCTATAATTTGAGGTTCTAACGCTTGAAAATGGTGACACAGCTTTGCTTCTAGTGGTGGTGGTAGGTGATGAAATCAACATTTTTTGCGACGGTAACAAGATGGTCGCTAATACATTGTAGGCATTTTTAAAACTTTTTTGCGACTGTAATTTTGAGGTCGCGAAAAGTATTTGCCACCTCCACATTCGTGACTCCCATTTGCCGTTGCATGGGCAGTCGCAAAAGGATTTTTGCGACTGTTTTTCTATTATTGGCGACGGTTTGTAGCGGTCACAAAAAGTATTTTTTTTAGTAATGCACGCAAGTCTCGGGCACAAAAAGTGGGTGAATACCGCGTCCACGTCCACGTTTAGCCATAGATAATCTAAAGCAAGTCATGAACGAGGTGGTGATAAGTTAGAAAAAGTCAAAAGAAGGGTAAGAAAAACTAGTGGAAATGTGACAGAAATGGAAAACTCGGAAAATGCAAGGTAGGTAGGTAGGGAATACTCCAAATAACACAATGATCATGGAAAGCTGGTGGATAAGCCCGCAAACTCGAAGAAAGCGTGCAAAGGTTCAAGATATTCGCCAAAAGTTCACAAAACTCGGTAAATTAAGACAAAAATGCATGGAAAGCAAGGAAAAAGCCTGGAAATGCAAGAGTATAGCTCAAAATACCTTGAATAGTCGAAAAAGTGGTTAAATTGAGTTTTGTTTGGGTGAAAACGATGAGTACCACTAGTGGTAGAGCCAGGAATTAAATATAGGGGGGCACCAATTAATTACAATCTCAAAATTTTTCTTTCCCAATCAATAACAATAACATAATAATAATTTTCCGAGCTAATGTTAAACATTAAAAATTAATATCTATTACAAAAAAGTTTTAAATTTTAAACTTTTACAATTGACCCCAACGAGTTTTCATCTTTTGAAATCTTTCCATAATTGTATTATTGTCAATGCCATCAAAAATATCTCTCTCAATGTAGACAACCAAGCTATCATTCATCAATTCATCACCCATTCGGTTCCGCAACCGATTCTTCACAATATTCATAGCTGAAAATACCCTCTCAACAGTAGCAGTTGCAACAGGTAAGATTAATGCTAAAGTCAAGAGCAAATACACCAATGGATATACTTTGTCTCTTCTAGTCTCTATAATTTTCTTAGCAAGATCAGCAATTCCATTCAACATTGAGAACTCACTACTGGATAGCATGTAGATATGTCCTATGAATTCGGTCTCGATCATTAGCATTATAGTCCATAATCCGAGGCCGTAGTCTTGGATCTGCAGGAAGGTCAATTAAGTTGATTTCTATGCGACTTTGTTTTGCAGAAGAATAATTATCATCTTTTTCTTGAGAAAGAGATGATTCAAACTTTGATTTTCTTTTGAAATATTTCTCCATGACTACTTGAAAAAACCAAAAATCAAAATAAAAATTCATAATCAAAATCTCAAACCCCTCACAAATCAAAATCTCCAATTTTAATACAAATCAAAAAATTTAAATTAGTACAAATCACAACAAATCTAAATTTATAATCTTAGCACAAATTATAACAAATCAAATTCCTAATTTAAATATTAATCACTGTAAATTAATATTTTTAATTTTAGCATAAATCAAATCCTTAATTTTAGCACAAACAACAACAAACCAAAATCCCTAATTTTAATATAAATCACCACCAATTAAGATTCATAATTTTAGCATATCAAAATCTCTTATTTTAACATAAATAATAACAAATAAAAAAATTTTACAAATCAAAACTTAACAAATAATTATAAATTAATACTCATAATTTTTATTTAAAAGTAAAAAAAAAAATAAATAAAGTTACCTGTAAACAATGAAGAAAAGATATCAAGGTTATAATGTGGTCCCAAATCTGTACTGTGTGATCCTAATTTAGTGAATCGCGAGTCGGTAAATTGCAAAGCAATAAAAGGAGACAAAGAAGATAAAGAAAATACGAAGATACTCCACAAGTACTGTGAATAAATAAAAAAAATAAAGAATTTCATACACTTTTAAGGTTTTAGAGTTTTAACCTTGTTGTAATTGGAGTTGTATGTACTCACCTAAAAAAAAGTTGTGTTAGTATTTAATTAGGATTGGGATTGAGATTCCAAAAAAAAAATAATAATAATAATAATAAGAAAATAAAATAAAATATATAAACGTGGTACTTCGTGCCTGGTGTGTGTGTGTGTCAGTGGTTAGTTGGGTTTGAAATTGTGTATTAGGAGGAGGGGCACACACAAGGCAGATCACACTTTAAAAAAAAAAAATTAAAAAAAAAAAATTCAAAAGTTAGGGGGGCACGTGACCCCTTAAGCCCAATGTCCCTCCGCCCCTGAGTACCACGTGAGAAATCTGACAAGTTCGAAGAGAATCCAAGCCACAAGACAACGAGAAAGCATGGGCAAGAGAAAGAGAGAAGATGGAGAGGGTTTGGGAGTATTTTTCGAATATGTGTGTATTGAAATGAGGCATCAAAAGTCATTTTAAACCCTTTGGGTTCACGCGATTTGTCTTCATCAACTGAATATGTGGCCGCACCTTCATTCTGCGGTCGCACTTTCTTGAAAACGTGCGACCACACTTCCTAGGTGGGCCTACACGTGGTTTACATGCCCCACACGTGTGCCAACTCATTTCACCCGCGGGTGACCTCTCAAGGCACATGCACATCCTAAACTCAAGCTTAAGTATTGGCATGCCTTTCGAGGTAACATTTTAAAAATTGGCATCAATCATCATGGCACTACAGAAACTAGCACCCTACCCACTTGGCATCCCTTTAAAAACATGGAAAATGATCTTTAAATTTCTCCCCAGCTGAGATGTTTTTAGGAACTTTTGAAAAATCCCATGGCATTAGCAAAGCATAGCAAAATTGTTTGAAATTTTAGCAAAACTTGATATTTTGGATAATTTTTGTTTTGTTTTGTTTTGTTTTGTTTTTTTTTTTTTTTTTTTTTTTAATAAATAAAGGTAAAGTGGGTAAAGTAGGGTTTGTATAAAATAATAATAAAATAAATGAGTGGAGAAGGTTGGATTGTTGTTCAGATACATTGAATTTGGATCAATGAAGTCATCGGAGTGCAGGGACAAGCAAATCATGGAACTTTCTGGATCCAAAGACAAAGCCTCCTTCAACTTCTTTAACCCCGACGAAGAAAGCGATGAAGAATTTGATCCCCATCCCAGCTATGGTTTTCGTCCTGTTCCTCCCCTGGCTGCTTCTCACTCTCGCCCTTCCCTTGTCAGAAATTCCAGTTCTATGAACTACATTGATTCTGTTACATGTGGTGGATGGGCTCAGTGCAAGACTCTCTCAACTAGAGAGTAAAACACACCAGCTTGAGAATGCTGTTGACGATCTGAGGCGATTTAAGGCAGAAGAGACAACTTCAGCGACTCCGACGACTAGCCGTTGTTGATTCGCGTGACAGCGGAGTCATAGTGGTTAAACTCAGATCCGAGGTCGGAGATCAAAGACTACAGATCTAAGATTGAGAACAAGCACTCGTCGATCTGTGATGGCATTCTCAAGCTCCATAGATTTGAGAGAGCTACGATCAGTAGGAATGGAGCTCCGATGTGTTTGGGTCTGTGAGGAGCTGCTCGTTACACTGAAGAGAAGCACCGAAGGTGAGTGGCAGCTTGGGCCACGACGCCTACGACTGTCGAAGCTGCAACAAGTTGATGGTTGGGTCTTCGGCGGTGTTGCTTGAAGCCGCGATGGAGGTCTATGCAAACGGCGGCACTGCTGGCTTGTTGAAGAAGAAGGATGGCCTCTCGATCTAGAGAGAGAGTAGGCTGAGAAATGGGTGTGGCGGCTGTGTAAGAGGTTCTGGCGGAGAGAGAGCTTCCTGAGGTTGGAAAGGTGGGCAATCCGGAGGTCCAAGGTGGAGAGTCGATTGGCGGTGAGGTCCAACTCGGTCAGACTCGGTGGAAGCTCGACTGAGTCGAGATCGTGTAGCTGGAAGCTTGTGAGATCAAGGACTGTAGCCGATGATGATTCATTGTCCTCGTCCACCATTGTTGCAAAAGGTGTCTTCCAAGGTTTTTTAGCTATGAAGATTCGGAGGGTTGCATCAATCCATTCTCTTTGACAGAGGATAGGAACTTGTGTAAATTGAACTGACCGAGCAAAGTTGCAAACCAGTATTCAGCAGCAGGAGGAGGAAGGACATGCAGAGTGATCAAGGTATGTGTAGAAAATTCAAGCGGAATAGGTTGAGGTCCGGCGGGCGGCTAAGATGATGTTGCCGCCCGCCGGGGAAGCGAAAATAGTAGGTTCTAAACCTGCTCTGATACCATGTAGAAATTTAATGTATAAAGAGAAATGATTGTATTATTGATTGTTGTAAGTTGTGATGTATTGTGTGTACATTATATAGGAGATGGAGATGTGGAGTAGGTGAAGTGGAGTGTGTAGTGGAGTAGGTAAAGTGGAGGTGGAGTGGTGTAGTAGGTGAAGTGGAGTGTGTAGTGGAGTAGGTAAAGTGGAGGTGGAGTGGTGTAGTAGGTGAAGTGGAGTGTGTAGTGGAGTAGGTAAAGTGGAGGTGGAGTGGTGTAGTAGGTGAAGTGGAGTGTGTAGTGGAGTAGGTAAAGTGGAGGTGGAGTGGTGTAGTAGGTGAAGTGGAGTGTGTAGTGGAGTAGGTGAAGTGGAGGTGGAGT